TAACACAGACTCTCAGGTCATCACTGAGCCTCACCTATGTCACCAAACACAGTGACCATGAGTCCAACATCTGGCCTCCAGAGTACCACTAGAAAAAAGAAATTAGTGAGCAACATTTAGATCCATGGTCCTGCACTCTAGAGTTCCCACCAAAATGTATATGTTAAATCCATCATATCCACAAACACAGGAAGCTGTCACTCAAATGATTTCTGATCACTGCGCAATGATTAGTGAAAGCACAAGCTGTGAGCAATCTGCACCCACTAGCAAGCAGGTAGTGTGATGAAATGGTAGAGAAAGCCCGGACTCTCCCACTGCTCTTGCAGCTTTGACAGTACAAATAACAGAGAATCTTCTCCAAGTACAGCCTGTCCAGCCCTCGGGACCTTGAGACTTGTTCAGAGAACACATGACACTCAGATCTATTTTCATAATACCAAAACAATATTTCCTCTTTCATCATGCTGACATTTGCACTGATGTTGCAAATACAATGTTTGGTCAATTGCCATGTGCCTTAACATGAAGCAATGGACTCACACCAGTTTCCTAAAATATTCACAGTGTTCTTTGCTGCCACATAGTTGCAAGAAAAACAAGTGACTTCAGATAAACATTTCATTAACTCTATCAGCTTTCTGTGACTGTGTGTGCCTATTTGTATGAATGTGTGTGTGTGTGTTAGTGTATTGGATAGTTACAACTTAGGGCCCTGCATTAGTCTGCTCAGATTGCCATGAGTGAGCACCATGGACTTAAACAATAGAAACTTAGGTTCTCACAGTTCTTGGGTCTAGGAATCCAAGATCAAGGACTGGCAGGGTTGGTTTACTCTGGAGCCTCTCCTCTTGTTTTGAAGGTGGGCAGCTTAGCCTTTACCTACTTGTGTTCTGGGTAGTGGAGTGGAATAGCTGTGTTGAATGTAAGACTAGAAGTGGCAAAGATGGCCCTCTCAGGTGCTGGAGATCTGGTTAGAGGATAAGACAGTGAGCTTACCATGCCTGCCAATAAAGTTAAGACAAAACTACTTTGCTGGCATGGCAGTGAGAGAGCTTGAAACCCTGACCCCTGAGGGGCGAGGTCCCTGAGCAGCATACTGGTTGACCTTAGTTTTAAGGAACTAAGTTTTCTCTGGGGGAAAAGAAGATGAGAAACCAGAGCTGGGGGTTAGGATAGAAGCCCTGCGAAGGAAGGGGTCTGGTGGGACTGTGACAATCTAGGAAGCCCTTCTTGAGTTTCGGTGTCAGTGCGTAGGAATTCATATCTAAGAATTAAATGTGTAGGAAGAAATAAAGGATGAGAGTTTAGACAGCCACAAATAGCACAGCTTCAGTTAATGCCAGAGAGGTGACCATGATGAGGACATGTGAGCCAGAAACACAATGACCAGAGTTCTACAGAATGCAGATTACATGCTTCAAGCTAGGGTATGGTAGGGAAAAGGAAGGAGGGTTTTTATTTCTAATCATTTTTTATTTTAAAACAATATTTTCTCATTTTACATACCAATCCCAGTTCCCACTCTCTCCCCTCCTCCTGCACCCCACACCCCATGCCCCATCCACTCCTCAGAGAGGGTAAGGCTTCCCATCAAAGTCCATGAAGTCTGTCACATCTCTTTGAGGCAGGACCAAGGCCCTCCCCCTTATATCTAGGGTAAGCAAGGTATCCCTCCAAAGAGAAGGGGCTCCAAAAATCCAGTTCAAGCACTAGGGATAAATCCTGGTCCCATTGCCAGTGGCCCCACAGACTGCTCAAGCCACATAGCTGTTATCCACACTCAGGGGGCCAAGTTCAGTCCCATGCAGGTTCTCCAGCCATCGGTCTGGAGTCAGTGAGCTCCCCCTAGCTCAGGTCAGCTGTCTCTGTGGGTATCCCCAAATGGTCTTGACCTCTTTGCTCATATTATTGCTCCTCCCTCTCTTCAACTGAACTCTGGGAGCTCAGCCCAATGCTTAGCTGTGGATCTGTGCATCTGTTTCCATCAGTTGTCAGATGAAGGCTCTGTGATGATAATTCAGGTAGTCATCAATCTGATTACCAGGGAAGGCCAGCTCAGGTACCCTCTCCACTAATGCTTAGGGTCTTAGTTGGGGTCATCCTTGTGGCTTCCTGGGAATTTCTCTAGTGCCAGGTTTCTTGCTAGCCCCATAATGACTCCCTCAGTCAAGATTTCTCTTTCCTTGCTCTCCTTCTCTGTTGGGATTAAGAGTTTCTTAAGGGCAGAATGGGGAAATTGGTTGATTTCTCAGATAAGCTGTGTTTGAAATGCAGACACCTATCTCTTTTTGCAAGGTTGGTGTCTGAGGTCAACATCAGCTGCTTCTCATCTGCAGTATACAAACAGCTAGCTTCCTGAGACTTTGAGTTCAGTGTAGGGTCTTGGCTTGGGGGTATATCTTTATTCTCAATCTGTAGAACTCAGCTATTTCTGTTGTAACTATGTTGTGTAACAAATATCTCTAAATTTTCAGTTGTCTAGTGTCTTGCTTTTTCAGCAGGCCAGCTGGATTTGGCTTCAAGGTACCTGTTGTGTTCAAGTCTATTCCCCATGTTATAAAAGGACCCAGACAGAAGCAGCAATAAATTCCTACATCACAGAAAGCTCAAGAACAGGGGCAGAAATCCATAACAAGGAGTGTCTGCTTGGAACTGAAACACTATCCTGCGCATCCAAAGCACCAGTGTTAAAGAGTAGGGGGTACATTATACATTATACATTACACCTATAGCAGATCATGTGGTATCTAAACTGGATATATACATCTGTGATGGAATAAATGAAGAGCTGGGAACTATACAGCTACGTCCACATTGAGAGGTCCCAGTCTTTTCTTTCCCTCAATAGTCTCACTCAGAAAAGTTTCTCGTGGCTGCTTCTTGGTAAAGTTTACACACCAATACTAGGAAGAAAACTTGTGAGTACCATATTAATCAGTTTGATTAGTTCTTCAGTACAGTGACCATCTGCCTCTGGACATTTCAAAGACTAACCCTCAAGAGGATTACAGAGATACTCTGAACAAGTGGTCATCAGTCTAGGTCAGCTGGAGTCATCAGAAAGATCTCAAATGAAATAGCAACACCTAAATTAAGCCATGGTCTCCTAAGACCTCCAGGGAGCGAATATCAACCCTGTTTCAATTCTACTCCCTTCTGGCAAACAATAAGCACAACACTCATATACTCCCCTTAATACTCAACAGTTAACGAAGTCACTTTAGATGAACCTATTGTGCTCCCATGTCTTAACAGAGACCCTCACAATAACCAAGAACAAACAAGATCAGTATTTAAGAGCCTCCAGGAAAGACTTCTGCCCCTAACCAGATGCCAAACATCTACATAACTAAAATGTACCTATTATATTTAGGGAGAGTTACTGTCTCTGCTTGCTCTGGTTGTGCTCTGACCAAGGGCACTGGGCAAGAAGACCTAACTGGCGTATGTGAGGCCCTAGTACAGGGCAGCATCAACTGGAGAAATTGAATGCCTTTTATAAAGCCTTCAAAAGAGAGTTCTGTTGACCAAGCTGGAACCCACGGTGCTTCCTCTGCAAGCCCAGCAGGTTGTCATTTCTAACTCACACAAAGCGCCATATGGGCTACTGGCTCCAAATTAAGCAACTGAGAGGTCAATGGAGAGAATAAAATCTTTAATTTACATGAAAGCCTTTTTCAGACTGTATAACACTATTGAAGTGAAAAAGCAAGGCAGGCAGAGGTGGCTCTGAGGCCTAACCCACAGCATGTAGAATACACAGGAGACTTTCAGATATCTAACACACTTCTCTGTGGGAAGCCATCCGAGAGAAGACTGGCCACAAAGTCTGGATAGGCGTGGACATGACAATTCCTAACAGTCCACTCTGACCCCAGACTAGATCCAGCCAGCAGGGCAGCAAGGATTAGGCAGGAGTGCCAGGCAAGTTGAGCCTGAACTGCCATTCCTTTTGATCTTGCTGTGGTTTGACTTGCAGAAAACATCTGGCTACGAGTTCTCAGAGACACATGATGAGAGCCCAAGGAAGGTTTTTGTAAAGCTCTGCAACACCGTGATTGGGGGAGTACGCTCACAGTGTTACAAACCCCACTGGAGACCCGTACAAAAACTGCAAGGGTGAAGAACCATCTCCCTGGGAAGAGTCCTGCCTGAGTCAGGCACCATGGAGCATAAATACACTGGGGCAGCGTGTCCTCCTTGTTTGGAAGCCTGGAAAGTATCAGGAAGTAGACTGGACAAGAGATGAGCCCAATGGCTGGCCTCTGCCTCACACCTGTTCCTTGGGTAAAAATATTATTTTATCATTTACTTACATGGAAAATAAGGAATATGAAAGGTGTTTGTTCACAGGCATACCCTTGTCATGCTTTCATGTTGGGTATACAACATTAAAAGAGATAAACGAGCTGTTCCATGTGGAATTTGTAAAGTCAGGTCCCTGGAGAAATTTGCCCAAGTTCTTCTCTTTTGCAATTTGGGAAGGTTGGGCTTGAGGGGAGATTTAGCAATTTTGAAGTTTTCTATGGTGGAACTGATAAGCACTTCACACCACTTGCCCCCCTCGCTTACTTCACTTTATATTCTCTGACCTTAAAACCACATGCCAAGTATAAAAGTCTCAACTCTGGAGCAGTCATGGATCCAAGCCCTGATAGTGTTGGCTTTTTGAGACAAATGTTTATATGTGGGGCTAAGGAATGGAAACAGCTTAAAACAGCAAAAAGTTCAGCTAAGAGAATTTCCTATGTGTACTGTGTAGGTAACTTTTACTGTTGAGTATATTGTTCCCACATGCTGCTCAAACATGAACCTCCTGTAAACAAATCCATCCTTATACACATTTGCTAAGTCAATGATGAGCCCTCTGGATGAGTGACTATTGCCATCTTTAAAGTATAGAAGCATGAAATCCCTCCAGCCATGAAGTCAACAGAAAGAAGTTGAGGAAGAACCATTGAGGTTTTTGGAATGGCCTCAGTGGCTGTGCACAACAGACAAACTCATCTTTGGAAAAGGAACCCAAGTGACCGTGGAACCGAGTAAGTTGTTTATTTGTCTGGATTTGGGGCTAATGGATCTTCCACTTAGGTGGGAGTATAAGGAAATGTGAAGGGAATAATACGAACCCAGTGATCAAGGGTCAAGGAAAATGTCTGAAAGAGGTGAGCTATAGTTAGCTCCTCCATAGGAGTTGGGGTACCCATAAAAAAGTAGAATTTGGGGAACTTGAAATTACCTTTGTGGCTCAGAACTCGAGAGAATTGTGCCTGCTCCGTGGAAATAAGTTAAACTGTAGAAACCAAAGTGGGATAGCTTCAGCACAGTCGGGATGAGTCTGACCCAGGCATCCTATAGCAATGGCTCCAGACTTAAATAATGCTGACCTCCCATAGGCTAAACGCCTGCTCCTGGGAGAGCATGGGATAAAATCAATGTCCTGATGGTGTATGAAACCAGAACAAGTGGCTGTTTGGTACAGTATGTGACCCCAGTGCTCTGGGGAAGGAAGGTGCCCAGACATTCATGTCCATTTGTTTGAACTACAGATAGAAACTGTAACTAGAGAGAAATGAGGATGGAGCCTTGTACTTCCCAGGGAGAGCAGATCCAAGAATGAGAATTAAGCGAGTTTGTGAGACTTCCAACCAAAAGACACTTAAAAGTCTGTGGGAACACCCTATGGACCTTCTGACTCCGTGTTCCTAGCTGTCTTAAAGCAGTCACACTAAAAATGTTCAAAGAGTGTGTTCCACACAAAAAGGTGTCTTTTAATGTCATTCGGGTTGCCATCTAAATTCAACAATTTCTTGTAATTAAAAAAGATAGTAGTTTCCACTTGGTAGAAGCTATCAGTTATTGCAGTCATGTAGTGGATCTTGTCCCTAGGCCAGGGGTCTACTAAACCAGTAAGCTAAACTCCAGTCAAGTCTAGTGGTAAGCTAGTCCTAGCGATAAGCACCAATGGCCACAGTCACCAGACTGACCTCTAGGGAAAAAAACAACCTACTGTTTTGGCTTTCAGCTTGTTTTCTAAGGGCAAGAGAAGGCTCTGGAGAGGCCAGATGGAAGGCTGTAGTGGGGCAGGCTCCCCTCACTCAAAGAACTGTCAGAATGGGAGGGGGGCTGCCGGGTGAGGGAAGTGAAGAAAGCAAAGGGTCTGGAGACTGGAAGGGAAATCCAAGCCCAGGGGCATCTTCTGACACGCCCCCCCCCCCAAGGCCATCTACAGTAGAAACACAGCAAAAAGGAGGCAGACCTGAAGTCAAACTAACAGGGAAGTAGGGAAGCTCAAGTTTGCCATTTTGTTTTTGTCACAGGAAAAGTTTGTAAAGTTGAGTGACTCAGACTTTTGCCTTTCAATTTCTTTGACTTTGAAACTTCTCACTAAAATAACAGCATGTCCCCATTCACAGTGAGGTACTGACCAATTTCCCTAATCCCCCTTTGTTCACCAGGCTCTTTAATGAGTTAACTTGCTCTGATCTACTGGGCCGGTGTTCCCCAGGTGTAGAATAGCAGAAATCACTTCTCAAATCCATATGGCTTAAAGTTTCCTTTTAATTATATTTTAACTTCAAAAGTGAGTGAACTTAAGGAAAATGATTTGGCAAACTGTGACAGATAGATGTGACCCTCTTCCCCTTCCAAAAGAGAGAGAGAGAGAGAGAGAGAGATGTTATTAATTGAAGTTTGCCAGACACCCAGCCAGTGTACCACATTATTCTTTGAACTAGAAAAGATAAGGCGAATCCAGGGGTAGGGCCCAGAATAGTTTTGAATGGCGCATTCCTTTTTAGCCAACCAGGGCTGGATTAATGAGGTACAGCTGCAAACAGGGCCTTTGTCTTCTCTGAAGCCAACTTTCCTTTGATTCTTTCTTTGGAAGCCTCTTTCAAGCTCTTGCTTGCAAGGTTTCCAGGAAGCCCTGGACTGGCTGATTCTATCTACACACAGCAGCAGGTCCCACCAGGTAGCCCTAGGCTGGTGTATAGAGTTTACATGGAGAATAAACCTGGGGATACCATGCAGGCAGGCCCCAAATGTAAACATATGCTTGAAAGTGTCCAGGGCAGGGATTCACAAAAGGGCCACAGTCCACAGAAACATCTTCGTGAATAAAGGGGGCTGTAAGATGTCTTGCGGTGCTATCTGCTATTATATACCATCCCTACATCAAATATTGTTTTTTGAGGGCCTACCTTGCATCAGTTCATTTATTCAGCCTCATGGTGATCTTTTTGGATTAGTTACAAAGAAAATGAATCTTGCTGGGAGGGGGCTACCCAAGATCACACAGCTTAGCCAAACTCTAATTTGAATGGCCTGTAGGTTCCAGCATCTCTGCTTCTGAGATCCCTGCTGTTCTGTCAGGCTGTCTCTCCATGCATGGAGGGTTTCCCACTCAGAAGAGCCACCCCTTCAGGACTTTGCACTGTTACCTCTCCAGCCACCATTTCCAACACCTCCCTCACTGAGGCAGGGCTCCTACCCTCATATCCAAATCCAAACCAGATACCCAGAGAGTCATCCCTCCCAGGAGGCGGAGGACATTGTGGCTTTGGGACCTGAAAGTTCCTAACATAGAAAGGCCTAGACAGAGTTCAGAATATTTTCCTTCCCCCCAGGGGTTCTGAGTACCTTTCTTGTTCTTCCCTGTCACCAGCTCTTCCCCCTCCCCCATCCCTTTCTCATAAGCAGCAACCAGAGCAGCATCTTTATGCTTGCAACTCTCTACCTACAGCCACTTTCAATCAGGGACTGGTATAGCTTTCTCCCAACTCCTGCTTAAAATGGGAGGCCTTTCCAACACACACCCCAAAAGCCTCTTCTCCCACTCTATTATTTATAGTCATTTTGTCCATCTGAAAGTATCTGTTGATTTATTATCTATCTCTCTTGGTCCATAGAGAGAAACATGGTAAGATTTATTATCCACAAGGACATTTAAGACACTGAATGTGTTTTGTTACATGAGTGACTCAGTCCATCGAGGACACTTCAGTTGTAGCACAGAGGAAAAGAAAAACACAACGGAAGTATGCTAGAAAACTGCTCAGCAAAGCACAGTCCAGCTCTGCAGCCCGGGGGCATGTCACTGTCACTTGTTGCCAAGCACTATTTTAGGTACAAAGAGTCAGCACAAACAGAACAGATGGAAATTCTTACTCTGTAAAGGCAAATGACACAAGGTAAAAGAGTACTATAGGCGACAACAAGCCAAGGTCCAAGAAGCAGGATAAAAGGCACAAGTAGAAAGGACCAGTGTGCAATTCCAAATGAAGGAGTGTGCTTGGAAAGGTGGCATTTGACATGGCCAAGTGCAGCCTGCAGCTCCCTGGAGGAATGTAACTTCCAGGCAAAGGGGACATAGTACCCTCTGGAGTGTGTGAAGAATCCTCAGGAGGCATGGCTGAATGAAAACGAGTACCAGGGAACAAATTTGAAAGGGAGACTGAAGAGAGGGCTCCGTCAGTAAAGTGCTTGCCACGCAAATATGAGAACTTGAGTTCAGAATGCCAGAACCCATGTAAAAAGCCTGGTACAGTGGCATATGCCTGCAATCCTACTACTGGGGAGGCAGAGATAGGAGGACCTCTGAATTCACGGCCCAGATAGTCTCTCCTAACCAATGAATTCCAGGTTTCAAGAAAGATCCTAACTCAGAAAGTAAAGAATGATAGAGGAAGATACCCAACATCTCTGGCTTACAACACACACACACACACACACACACACACACACACACACACACACACACACACACGAGAAATTAAGTTGGTAATGAAATGGGGAAGGGTAGCTTACAAGCAACTGTAAGGACCTGTTCTCTTTGATTTGAGAGGCAAGGCTAGAGAATGGAATGGAGACCATAACTGAGGAATGATCAAGGAATAGAGAAATCTGGATTCCATCCTCAACTGTAACCCTAGGAAGTAAGCACCATCCTCATGTCAAAGAACATCAAAGGTGGGATTCCTTCCCCCTCCTCAACAGCTCCCAACATTCCTCCTGAGTCTGAGCTCTGCCCTTACTGAAGTTACATCTCTCCTGCTTCAAGTAAAATTCCTCTTCCCTCAGTCTAGACCTAACAAAATTCTAAGAATTACATTGGTTCTTTGAAGATTGCAGAATTCTCTATACTTGTCCTCCCATTGTCATATAACCTGCCAAAAAAGAAAGCATCTCTTCACTTTATCAGGAAGCAAACCGAGCTCCCTACACATCATAAAGATAATCACTGAGGGTCTTCTGACATCTTGTTCACCAACAGCTAAGAACCATCCTGTATGTTAGTGATTCTCAGAGTACTTCAGTCTTCCATGGGTTCCAAATAATTTGAAATGAATGGTCTCTCTTTGGGTTTTCGAGTACAAATAGACAACCTTATGGAGGGATGTTTTTACAGAGCTAATTTAGCAGTCACTTCTGAGTATGGCATTAAAGTTTGCTAAAATGTGGCATCCATGAACATGACTCACGGACAGGGGCTTGATACTATTATGCACTAGAAGGCACAGCTGCTGCACACTCTTGGCAATGGCACAGTGCTCTCACTGAACTAAAGCAGAATTTGTGAAAGATCAGGCCCCAGGGAAGTCCATAACTCATTGGAACTTTGCCACACCTTCATGTTGCCCAAAGCTTAAGAACCAACATTCTACCTTTTGTTACTATTGAATTAATAATAATAATAATAATAAACAACTCCTTGTCAGTCTGCTTTCCTTGTCTCTCTTTCAGAGGACAAATTTTGTTAAAATGTAACATGGCAGAAGCTTGGATTTCTACATGATACCGAAGTTCCCTTCTGTTTGTCTTGGAGGATAGCCCCTAGAAGAAAAGAAGCAAGAACAGTGGGACAGGAAATCCCACCCAGTGGGTCTCACATAGCTTCAGCAAGGGTTTCTGCACAAAGAAAAGCAAATTGGTTTTGGCTTAGGCTTACTAGCTGAGGCAACCCCTGGTCTTTCCCACAGGAACCTGTCTATGCAGAGGTCGAATCACATAACTCTCTCTCTCTTCTGTGACCACTGTTTTT